CGCTCCTGTTTTATACCCTATGAGGAAAACAACAGGGCGTGCGCGCGTGTTTTCTGTGGGCTTGTGTGAAGCTGTTCATTCGCCACGCGCAGCCCACAAGATGCATCACACCTTCTCCTTTGAAGCCTTGTTCGATTCTTCAGGTGGGTAAACCGAGTGCTAATATCCACTTCAGCCGTCAACTGTCTGGTGTGCATTATTTTGCCATCCAGTCCTTACATTGAAGTGGCCGTGACTCGCAACATGAATTCATTTCATCATGATTATCCTCTCGTCTTCTTGAATCTGTAGCAATCGTGAGCGTCATCAGTGAGCAGCATTCTGCTAGTCTAGTTATACAGTGCCTTCCGCATGCCTGAGCAAATGTGAACAAGCATGGCCACAACTATGGATGTCATTTCCGGAAGTGACCCTTCACATACTTATCATCTTTCGGTATATTCTTTTGTCTGGTGGTTCAAGACTTAGTTTACATCTCATTGGTGCAGATGAATGGTTAATAAGTTTCTCCAAGGTATCCTGTCAAGCCTAATCCAATCCAAGCCTGCGTGTTCTGATGCCCACCATTTACCGCCATTGAGATATTGCCGGTTCACACACTGATTGGACTGCGCTTTTTCTTGGGACCATTAAGGGCTGAACAGACTGGGGCTCCATTATTGTGGATTTCTGGCAAAAGTGTTAGTTGTATACAATGTTATTTGAAGTTCCGTCTTGTTTCGCAGTCTTGCTGAATCAGCCATGAGATCCTTGTTTAGACGTACCCAACTCATATCTCTTGCCTGCTTGATGGGCCCCATATTTAGATTCCAGACAAAGGAGAAAAGCCTACTTCTTGGTACAGTTATTGATCTTCTTGTCGATGAGCTAACCAAATAATTAGCGTGTGATTTACTTTGTTTGAATGATTCTGCTGCTTCAATAGTACGAACTATCTTGAAAGATCTCACATCTTGCCATGCAGATTTATCTACTCCCTCCGTTCCTAAATATAAGTCTTTGTAGAGATTCTACTATGGACCATATACGGATGTATATAAATGCATTTAGAGTTTACATTCACTCATTTTGCTTTGTATGTAGTCCGTAGTGAAATCTTTACAAAGACTTATATTTAGAAACGGAGGAAGTAGCTGCTACTAATATGATATGGTGCTGATCTGTAACTGATGATATTGCCTCTTGTTCTGTAAGATTGATTATTTCTGGTTTTTTTTGTCTATACTCAGATCATGTTTACTAATTTATCAATTCTACTTGAAGGACTTTACGTGTAATTTATTTTCAGAAACAATATTTTTTTATATAACAGAAATGAGTATTCTTGATTATCTAGAACCTTTTTTTGTTAGAAGTTATCTAGAACTCAAAATGAAAAGTATAGTCAGGATCTCATTATTTTTATCAAGATTTGCTACCTGTCCAGTGTCCATCATTAGGCAGGTGCACGTGTTTCTTTGAATGAGATGAGGAAATAGATATGGAGTAGCTATTTTCTTGTTACTTTTCAGTGGGCCCGGTGAATGGCTAAACCAGACAAGTCTTTGTCTGTCATGCTCTCCATACATTGAAATGGCTACAATTCTATTTCATGTGCCTACTGGTGCAGCCTTTACCTGGGACATCAAGTTGTCAACACTACACCTAATCCCTGGTTTTCAAAAAAAAGGGCGAAGATGTAACTGTTTGTAAAACATGCGACTCTTCTTGAAACGGGCTTTCGACCCGCTTTACAAATAAAGCCATATGGCCAAGGTGTTGAGGAATTTCTCAAAAATGTTGATCAAAGAAAAAACACGACAAAAACACAAGCTGGAGACCGCTAACAAGCACCAAAGATGCACTACTAGACACAACCAACTAGTTGTTGAGTAAAAGTACACGAGAGGCCGGACCACCATGAGACACAACCAAGTCCGTTAACGAGAAAAAAAACCACAGAACTAAGTCACAACCATTCAACCATGTCGCTGGAGAGGACCCCCTGCCCTGTCAGACTTGCTGACGGGATGGAGCGGTGGAGGAAGACGTTGTCACGTGTAAATGAAGGAGCACACAAGACCGCTAGCCATCGAAGTTGAAGCTAGGCCAAGAGGTGCCCCAAGCCAACCCAAAACGTCATCGTGACCGGGTACACCCACACTCACCAGCGACTCACCCGAGAGGGATACGATGCACCACTCCTTTCAATGGACATACTTGCCTAGAACTGATTCTACCTTGAGAACGCTTCCCTCTTTTCTGATTCCTTCCCTTTGACCACCAAAAATGTAGCCTCAATTCCTTCGGAAATGGTAAGATCTTTGGCGCACAAAGAAGGGGTGACCCCCCGCCGCATCCGCTGAAAACGGACAAGGGTTTTCACCCTTGGCGTTGGCAAGGTGGGGAGGGAAGCCAAGAAGGCGGCTCCAAGAGGGACACGACACCTGGAAGCATCGTCACCGCTGGCCCAAAGGCATGAAGCTTTCACCTGGTTCCTCTCGCACATCTCACCGAGGGGACTCGGACCACGCACGACGAAAGAGGGACTCCAAATCCAGATCACGGTCTGGCCGCCTTCGAATACACCAGCCGCGCCAGGACCACCCGCCACCGGACACCTCGCCATCCACATGACCAAGACGCATCGTCAACACCACTGCAACACTGCTCGCCGGAGAGCCAAATGCGCAGCCCGCCATCTAGGATCACCGCCCCGGAATCCACGTGCCCAATCCCCAACCCTGCACGCACCAAGGTGCCTTTGATCACCCAACACCTTCTGTAATCTCCACGCTTGGAACTTCCCTTAATCTTATCCAAGTAACCCGCTGTGCTAAATGACATGGTGTCACAAATCTCTACTACATTTTGCAAATACCTATTCGACACGATCTTGAAAGTGATTAATTAAAATTACAAACTAATGTAGCACACTGCAATGGAAATATTTCCATCGTAGTGTGCTACAATAGTTTGAAATTTTAAGTGCCACACGTGCGGCACAAACACATTTTTTTTAGAAAAGGAGGATGACCCCCGGCCTCTGCATCTGGGCGATGCATACGGCCACTTTATTAATTATTCTCACAAGATCTTACAAGGTAATACAACAGCAAGACTAAAGCCACTGTCTAAGCAACAACTGTCGCTACGCCTATCCAAATGATGAAGGGGCGCTGATAGTCTGGGCCTAATACCAAACAGACATCGCAGCCAAACCTAAACATCTAAGACCTGAGGTCCCAACCAGGACGTCTGCCTGGTATGGGGCACCTACCAGTCCGGCGCACTTCTCAATCAGGACGCCTGCCGGGTATGAGGCCGCCGCAGCCACCTGCCACGAGTCCATCTTTAGAGCTGTACTGTTGCATCTACCATGCCAGATCTCTCTGCCATCGACGTCACCATGACGCCAGACAGCGTCGTCCTCCTACGCGAGTCCATCCTCCCACATCGAACTCCGAATCTGCACTGCGCCACGCCGTCAAGATCCGTCGCCATCAATGTATGGATGAAGCACCGCTCCACCAAAGAAACCGTCCGCTGGTCCCGCGAAGCAAGGCGCGGCACCAAGTAGAAGGCCGAAGCGCACCGCCACCACGCCACCAGCAGCCCCGCCACCAAGAGTTGTTCCCAGCCGCCGCCTTCAAGAAGGAGCACGACACCAGGGTGCCGTCGACGCCCAGACCAGGGGAACAAAAGCTTTCGCCATAGCTCGAAGAGGAGGCGGAAGGGAGAGGATCCAGCCCAAAGCCTTCAGGAAGGGGATCGGCGCCAAAGGCGTCGACTTTGGGGAGGCTGCCGCGCCAGCCAGGGGTTTCCCCCGGAACCTCACCCGCACGCCAGATCCGCCAGGCCGGCCATAGGGGCGCAAGGACCGGCGGTAGCACGGATCGGGACAGATCGAAGCAGGGGCGGATCTTCTACATGGAGCCATGACTGATTGCGAGGAACCGCCACTGCGCCAGCGTCCGCAGCCCCCACACCGCCCGCGGCCGTGGGAGGCTGCCCACCAGAGCCCGCCGGCTGCACCGCGCCCATCGGCCGGGGCCGCCGCCCCGGGGAGCTAAGGCCCTCTGAGAGGAGGCGCCAGATCCCGCCGCCACCATCATTGGGGCCGAGAACCCTCCTCGGAGGCCCTCAGGCGGCGTCGGAGGGAGGGGAGGCGAGGGGGAAGCGCGGCGCCTTGGTGGTGAAGAGATCGCTCGCGACAGTCTCTCCCAAACGACGCCTCCAAGGAGGTCACGACGTAGACGCCGCCGCCGCCCGCTTCGGAAGACCGAGGCAAAGATTTTCATCCGGAGAGCCAAATCCGTCATGATGTCGACGGAGCTCCACAACGACGCCTCCAAGAAGGTAGACGACGCCAGTAGCGCCGCCGTCGTCGGCCTGACCATGGTCAAGGCAGTGCTTTCGCCGGAGCTCCTCACCATATAACAGAACTTGCGGATCCAGAGCACCGGATGGCGTCGGGAACTCCCAGATCCGTCGCCGCCCAGCTCTGCAGACACATGGCAACTCCGAATGTTTTTTATGGCAAGTTTAGTCACGCGAGGAAGGCAACTTTAGTTGTCAAACATGGCAATTTCTTTTCGGATGGCAAGTTTGAGTTTTTTTTGGGTTTGTTGTTTCTTTTCGGATGACACCTTTTGTTGTAAAAAACGTTATGGCCAGAGTGC